ACGGCGTGGTGGTGGAAGCAGCGGCGATCTCGGCAGGGCTTCGCCAAGCTCAGCGAGACGGAGAGGTGGTACGGGGGGAGAGGGAGGCGCCAAGGACTAGGGTGCGGCTGCCCTCCCTCCTCCCCTCTTTATATAGGGGGCCTAGGGGGTGCGCCGGCCCGTGGAGATCCCATCTCCAAGGGGGCGGCGGCCTAGGGGAGGGGACTTGCCCCCCAAGTCAAGTGGGGCGCCCCCCATCCCTAGGGTTTCCAACCCTAGGCGCAGGGGAGGCCCAAGGGGGCGCACCAGCCCACCAGGGGCTGGTTCCCTCCCCTCTTCAGCCCATGTGGACCTCTGGGATAGGTGGCCCCACCCGGTGGACCCCCGGGACCCTTCCGGTGGTCCCGCTACAATATCGGTGAACCCCGAAACTTTCCCGGTGGCCGAAACTGGACTTCCTATATACAATTCTTCACCTTCGGACCATTCCGGAACTCCTTGTGACGTCCTGGATCTCATCCAGGACTCCGAACAACTTTCAGGTTACCGCATACTAATATCTCTACAACCCTAGCATCACCGAACCTTAAGTGTGTAGACCCTACGGGTTCGGGAGACATGCAGACATAACCGAGACGACTCTCCGGTAAATAACCAACAGCGGGATCTGGATACCCATGTTGGCTCCCACATGCTCCTCGATGATCTCATCGGATGAACCACGATGTCGAGGATTCAAGTAATGTCGTATACAATTCCCTTTGTCAATCGGTACGTTACTTGCCCGAGATTCGATCGTCGGTATCCCAATACCTCGTTCAATCTCGTTACCGGCAAGTCACTTTACTCGTACCGTAATGCATGATCACGTGACCAAACACTTGGTCACATTGAGCTCATTATGATGATGCATTACCGAGTGGGCCCAGAGATACCTCTCTGTCATACGGAGTGACAAATCCCAGTCTCGATCCGTGTCAACCCAACAGATACTTTCGGGGATACCTGTAGTATACCTTTATAGTCACCCAGTTACGTTGTGACGTTTGGTACACCCAAAGCACTCCTACGGTATCCGGGAGTTACACGATCTCATGGTCTAAGGAAATGATACTTGACATTGGAAAAGCTCTAGCAAACGAACTACACGATCTTGTGCTATGCTTAGGATTGGGTCTTGTCCATCACATCATTCTCCTAATGATGTGATCCCGTTATCAACGACATCCAATGTCCATAGTCAGGAAACCATGACTATCTGTTGATCCATGAGCTAGTCAACTAGAGGCTTACTAGGGACATGTTGTGGTCTATTTATTCACACATGTATTACGATTTCCGGATAACACAATTATAGCATGAATAACAGACAATTATCATGAAGAAGGAAATATAATAATAATCATTTTATTATTGCCTCTAGGGCATATTTCCAACAGGTAGGGGCACCCCAAAGACACGCAAGTTTCTCTTAACCATGTGCAGTGCCCCCCTCCATAGTTACACACCTCGATCATACCATCGTAGTGCTTAGGCGAAGCCCTACGCTAGTAACATCATCATCGCCGTCGTCATGCCGTCGTGCTGACGGAACTCACCCTTGTCCTCAACTAGATCAAGAGCACGAGGGGCGTCATCGAGTTGAACGTGTGCTGAACGCGGAGGTGCCGTATGTTTGGTACTTGATCGGTTGGATCGCGAAGAAGTTCGACTACATCAACCGCGTTACTAAACGCTCCCGCTTTTGGTCTACGAGGGTACATGGACACACTCTCCCCTCTTGTTGCTATGCATCTCATAGATAGATCTTGCGTGATCGTAGGATTTTTTTTTGAAATTATTGCATTCCCCAACAATACTCCGGCCTTTGCATCTGGATGATACATGCAGTTATTTTATTAATTATTCGCAAAGACCTTACAAAGTAATACACCAGTAAGTATGAAGCCATCATCTTGGCAACACCTGTGGCTACTCATATCCCCTTGATGAAGGGGTGCCGAATTTCCGAGCCGAATATCAAACAGACATCGTACCAAAGCCTAACATCTAAAGTCGGATGCCAGCCAAGCCACAATGTCGGGATTGAGTCACACACCGGTCCACGCACTCTCAGAGGTCGCCCCACCGTCTTCCACGATCCATCTCCAGAGCAGGTACTGACACACCAACCTTGCCAGGCTTGCAGTCGACGACACCACGACGCTAGACAACGCCACCATCCTGCACGTATCCATCCACATGAGCCTGTTGCCGAAACTCCACAGCGCCATGCCGCCGGGATCCGCCGTCGGCCTTGTGATAGATGTAACACCGCTCCTCCTCTTGTCCCCTTCAACCAACACTTACTCCAAAACGATGCCCCTAAGAGGGAGAACGACACTGAAGGCGCCGTCATCGTCCGATCCGGTAGACCCAGATCTAGGGTTTCCCCTGGAACATCCCGATCGAGTTGGTGTAACCTGCAACAACGATGCCTCAAGAAGGAAACGATGTCACAGATGCCACCATCGCCCGCCAAGACCGCACTCATGCGCGGTTTTCACCAGAAGCCGCATCGTGCCGATCTCGCGCCGTCTATGGATACAGGAGGAAGAAGACTTTGACAACCAAGGATGTAAATGTAATTTTCTTATATGTGCATTTGCAAGGACATGTGATTCTTTAAAGAATGTACTCTAAATTTAAGCATTCAACGAGGACCCTATAGCATAGGGACCTACTACTATATGATTCATATTGAAATCTCTACAAAAGTTTATATTTAAAAACGAAGGGAATAGTACTGTATAGCATGCAGCTGGACTAAGCCCTCGACCATGGTGCACGGCTCGAAGCCCTGGTTGCAACCCACGTTGTACCGGCAACGACAGGGTCGGCGAGCCACCATGGATTACTTTTATAAAATGGGCCGACACATACTTCGTTCAAGGCATATTCGTACCACACATATTCCTCGAGGACCAAACGTACCACACATCGCAAAGCCCTACGCCCGGCATGTGCGGTTTGCCGCATCGCTAAAACAAAACAAAGTCTGCTTCTGTTCGTGTGCCCCTGACCAACAGCTCTTGTCCCGGGTGGAAACACTCCGTCCAACGCCGAAGGCGCATGCATTCCTCGGAGCTCTCGTTACAACTTAGAGAATCCACCTAGCCGTTGGCACCACATGTTGGTTGGTAGTACCGGCAACTTCAGGGTGCCATGCTTCGTTAATAAAATCCACTGACAGACTGACTTGTACTCCATTCAACTTGGAGAGTCCACATAGCTGTTCCTCGACGACCAGACGCACCACAATCGAAATCGCGATGATGGGTTCCCATGGAAACTCTCTACTCCCTCTATCCGATGAAAAGTGTGTTGAATCATAGATAGACTTTAGGCCCATATGAACAATGATTCTTGCTTAATCTTAAGGCTCATGTAGAATATGGCAGTTGGTGAAAAGTTTAGTACCGCCTTATTAGTTGAGGAGAGTTGAAACCCTTTATAACGACTGCTCTACCACTTTCATTGGAAGTTTGGGGAGAGGAGTGGTACACGCGCACTCCTCCTCCTCCCCCGTTGTCTGCCTCGTCGCGGGAATGAGTCGTTCGACGATGATGATACCAAGAAGAAGGCCATGGACGATGCTGAGGCTGCTGCTGCCGCCGCCCCATTGGCCTGGCCAACCGGATGGAATGATCTATCTCATCACAGATGATTCGCTTCTACGTTCTGTACGTGCTAGTATGCTTAGGTATCGGTATGAGATGCATATTGTATTTGTCATGTTTACTGTTTAGTCGTGGATTAGTCTAATTGGAAAAGTGCTAATATTTCCAACAAAGTGTATATATAATTTTTTTAAGACGAATTATGAAGTGAAGTAAAAAAATGCATTGAAAAGGTCCAAGCCATCATATCTCTCCTCTTTAATTACCAAACCCTGATGAGCTAAATGCATGTACAAATTAAAAAGACCATGTGTAGAATGTTATTGCGTCTTAATTATCGTGTGATGAGAGAGAAATATGTTTCCATACTTTCAAGTGCATTAAAAACATAGAAGCGAACAAATTTTGAAGTCAAATGTATATTCTTCACCGGACGGAGAGAGTATGTAGTAGCTTGGCACTCTGACTGATTGGTTAATCAGTCCGTGTCAAAAGTGAACCGATTCAAGCTTGGACCGTTGATCGTTGACAAATAAAAGAGATTCTTTCCCATCTTCAGACGGTGTAGGATGTATACGTACTTATTGACAAATAAACAGATTCTTGGTGAGTGAGTTGGTGGCACCTCCACCAAAATTAGTCATCCTCGGGCCTGCCCAACATCTCCCCGTGTCGGTGTGGTCGTCCATGAGCAACTGTGGTTCCTGACCAAGTACTGCACCGGAACACCTTTTGCACTATCTAGACTAGACTAGAGGTGTTTTTATAGTATAATATTTTCTTTCGGAGTAGTAGTACAATGAAAGGGAAATTTCACGAACTAATAAAGTTACTTGGCGCGGTCCTTGGCGCCTGCTGCACTGCAAGCGTGCCAGTTTCATGCAGGCTTTAACTCTTGCACCACACCATGCAGCACCATGCATGCACGCCTTAACTCCGCCGCACAGCTGGTTTCATGCTGCGGCCTAGCGTGTGCTGTCTCGTCGGGCGCGGTTCGGTTCAAACACCCAACGCAACGCTTGGGAGTAACCTGGACGTCAACCGACCCACGACTGCACCTACCCCATGAACCGGTCCGCGTACGTTGGGCCTTTGATGGCGCGATCTGCTCCTTTGCTTCCGCCCAAATTAAGTCGCCCCTCACCTAACCTTCCTTTCAATCCCCCCCTCCCCCCCTCCCCGTCTCCACCCGGCCAGCCAGCCAGCCTACTAGCTACCGCCGTTCGCCCGCCGCTATATATACCGCTCCGTCTCCCTGCCCGCTTCTCGTACCCATTTGTCTTCGCCCTCCTCGAGTCCTGGCCTGCGGTTTGTGCTGAGAGCTGTGTTTGTGCGGCCGTGTAATCCATCCTTAGGTTTGCGATGGCCGGGGTGGTGGAGGAGCTGGTGAAGAAGGCCGGCGGGTGCGCGGTGATTGACGGCGGCTTCGCCACGCAGCTGGAGGCGCTCGGCGCTGACATCAACGACCCGCTCTGGAGCGCCGCCTGCCTCATCACCAAGCCGCACCTCATCAAGGAGGTAACGCCCGCAACCCGACCCATTTACTCAACCGGCAGACGTGCCTGCCTGCACAATGCCTTCTCGTGACCGGCAGGCATGTCTATGATCTGTCTCTCGTCGTGCTCGCGGCAACATCACAATATGATGCACCAGCTGATAAATTACTAGTCCTAGTTAATTGGTAGCGTATTTAGTATCGTGTCTGACGCGGTTTGGCATGTGACCAGGGCTTTTGCTTTAAGGTTATATTAGCTACTGGTCAACTCTATCTCTACAGCTAATATGTGCAGATCAAAAGTAGTAGAATAAATCTTGGTGATGACCGGGACAATAACGCTGTTTTCATTTTCTTACTACCTACCTCCCGTAGCATTTAAAAAAGAATTGAAGAGGAGATCACCTACCTTTTTTGACGGGCAGAGGGTAAAGGGGAGAAGAGGAGCATAATTGGTTTGCTGCCAAAAATTGGCATGCCAATGTTTGGCATTGTGCCAAATATTGGCTACTATTTGGTTGCTTGCGAGTTGTCTTGCCCATCTCACATAAAATTACCAATAGTTGGCAATTCTTGATACTGCCAATATTTGGCAATGCCAACACTTGGCAAGCCAAATATTGGCAGCAAACCAATTAGCCCGGAGATTACCCACTTTTACCAACGATCGAGAATCCAATATTCTCTCGCTGTTCAGATTTAGGCCCAAGTACCTTCACCAATTTGACTCGACTGCTTCATCGCATGACTTTCATAGTGCGTACACCTGAATTGTGTTGCAAAACGTCAACTTCAGATGAATCTCGAAGCTAACTCAACTTCAGCCATTGCTGTTGAGTACCACTGTCCCGGTAGTTTCGTTTACACATTCGACAACTTGAACTGGTGTCGGCACGTCAATGACCATCCACCGGAAGTAGTAATATTAAAATACCATCATGTGCATTTCGTTTAGAAACGAAAAGTGTATGAAAAATATTGAGAAAAAAGTGACAAAAAAACTAATAAGTATTATAGAAAAAGACTTTCACCCTGCTTTATTTATAAAGCAACAACCACTCGTTACAGCCATCAACACAACAAGAAACAAATAAATATTTGGCCTGTTTGAAATATTAATTATTTTTTGTTTTGTATAACAAGTATATATTACAAATACGTATTTGGGCACCCATTTGCTTGCAATGGGCTTCATATTTTTGCTGTGTGGAAGAAAGAGTGTGCCAATGGTATTTTTGTACTTTTGCATGGCTACATTACCAAAAATAGAGGTTTTAGGAGATAATCAAACAGCTTGACCCGGCTGTAACAGTGACAGATAGCAAATGATGCTTAAAATAAACCTGTAGTTATTCCAAAAAAACTGAATTAGCTTTGAGTCCAATGGCACACATATATGTTTTCTTAACGGAATTCCACTAGTGTGTGTGCTGTGTGAAGATGATCCAGATCCACAATAGACAATAGGAGGAAAAAATTTAACGGGAAAAGTTCCTCATGCATATAAATTTACTACATCCGTACCAAAATAGTAGATGTTTTTGTAGTTCAAATTTGAACTGTGAAAACATCAGATAGAAGTTTTGGTGTGAAGAACCTAACATCTTTTTTACAAATGTAGGTCCATATGCAGTATCTTGAAGCTGGTGCCGACGTCATCATCTCATCGTCCTACCAGGTACTCCTATGGCTTCAAAGTTCAAACACACATGAATAGAGGCTCCAATAAAAGTTCTCTGAATCTATCATCTTCCAGCCGAAGAGAAATGTCATCATGCCTTCCATTTTCTGCAGGCAACTATCCCGGGGTTCCTGGCCAGGGGACTGCTCCTCGAGGAGGCAGAAGGATTACTGCGAACCAGTGTCCAGCTGGCGCTGGAAGCCCGGGACGAGTTCTGGAAGTCGACGCTGAGAAAGTCGAAGCCCGTCTACAACCGTGCCCTCGTCGCCGCGTCCATCGGAAGCTATGGAGCCTACCTCGCTGATGGATCAGAGTACAGGTAAATAACACACGATGGAGTGCCGTTGCAGGAACACTGTAAATTAATGAACTCTGAAACATCCTGAGAAGCACACGTCGTTTTACAGTCATCGTGCAATTGGTTGTTTTGCAGTGGGTCATACGGAGACGACGTCACGGCGGAGAAGCTCAAGGACTTCCACCGGCGCCGGCTGCAGGTCCTGGCGACCGCTGGCCCCGACCTGATCGCGTTCGAGGCCATTCCCAACAAGATGGAGGCTCAGGTATGCTTTCTGCTGCTGTGATTCTAAGAATACTGGTTTAAAAAGGCCTGTCAAGTTCGTTTGCTGAAAGGAACGTACACTTTTTGTAGGCTCTGGTTGAGCTTCTGGAGGAGGAGGACATCCAGGTCCCGTCGTGGATCTGCTTCAGCTCGGTGGACGGCAAGCACCTCTGCTCGGGGGAGAGCTTCGGGGACTGCCTCCAGATCCTCAACGCCAGCGAGAAAGTCGCCATCGTGGGGGTGAACTGCACGCCGCCTCAGTTCGTGGAGGGCATCATACGCGAGTTCAAGCAGGTCTGCAGCTTCTTTCTTATTTGTTCAGCAATTATATATCCTATCACCTTTTTCTCCACAATGTACACCTGTTCTACGGTAGTCCGAAATCGCAAATCGAAACTGCTTCGCGCACGACGGCTGCGTGGCCGATTCATGCACGATTCAAAATCAGACGGTGTCCAGCAGTTTACTCCCACACACCAACGGCTTGATTAACTACATCGTCCACAAATCGTGCACATGGTGTCGTGTGTATGGCATCGTTGCAGTTCTCAAATACTCCCTCCGTCCCAAAATTCTTGTCTTAGATTTGTTTAAATACAGATGTACCTAGTTATGTTTTGATGTTATATACATCCGCATCTAGACAAATTTAAGACAAGAATTTTGAGACGGAGGGAGTATAATGTTATCTTGCTCGTGATTGATTCTCCAACAGCAAACGAAGAAGGCGATCGCGGTGTACCCCAACAGCGGCGAGGTCTGGGACGGGAGAGCCAAGAGGTGGCTGGTGAGTAGACGACTGACGCTACGTCGTACTTCATTCTAGTTATTACTTACTGACACATGATGCTCTTTAACGAGTGGCTTATACATTTTGTGATGCGAAATTGACACAGCCGGTGGAGTGCTTCGGCCGCAAGAGCTTCGACGTGATGGCGAGGAGGTGGCAGGAGGCCGGCGCCAGCCTCGTGGGAGGCTGCTGCCGGACGACGCCGTCGACCATCCGGGCGGTCTCCAAGGCGCTCAAGAGCAGGAACGACCAGTGATATCTTCTTCAGAAGTTCAGAGTCGCGGTCTCGTTTGAGGGTTATATTGTCCCGAGGAGGTGTAGAACTTCTGATGGTGAGTACTGCTGGCGTGCACCAATCGAATTTGGGCACTGGTTATCCAGGATTCGGGTATAGGCTGTGGTAGAGAAATATTTCTATATCGTTTGGATGTCAGGTTCTTTACCAAAATCAGTCCATCAGGGTGTTCGAAGATAGCTGCTCCAGATTTTGCCCATCAGTTTGTTGTCTAAGAAGATTATGATGTAATCATCATTTTCATCTGATTTCCCTCTAGTTAACCTAGCAATTTTTTTATGCTTACTTGACAAACCGTTGCCTCGTTTAAAAAATATCGACTGTGATGCAAATATTAAAAGCACTCGTTACATACTGAAACTAGTTAACTAGTGAAGCGCTTGCCACAAAGAATATTTTCTGAAGAACTTTTGCATCAAGTTACTTTGCACTTAACTTCGATTGTAGAAATTGAACAAAGAGCTTTTACAACCGAAGTTGGTTCAGGATGTAATTTGACATGGTTCAGGAAAGTTTAAAAAAATGCGGGGTGGTTTGAAAGTAATTTGCCATGAAAAATTAAATTAGCCATGATAAATTGCCATGTATGAAAGAACAAAACTCGTGAAACAAAATTAAAATTTCTATAAGTTGCAAAATTTCCCGTGTGAATTTTCAGGATTTTCTTATATAGTTGCCATGATTTTAGATAATGGCAACTATACAAGTGAACCCATGGCTGTCGGGCCTGCCGTCACGTGGTTTCGTTAATAGCGTTCGAAGGTGGTCCTTTCTGGCAATTCATTTGTGCAGGTGTTCTTTTATGCCAAATATTCAAAGTAAACTGTGTGATATGTACAAAACAATTAAAAAAATCATGTTGTACGGAACACACTTTTCTTCTAAAAATTGTCATGTGGTCAGTCCAAACATATTCACAACTTGCCATGTTCTGCACAACACAAGTTCACAAATTTTCCATGCGAATACTACAATTCTTTGCTCGGTTTGTGATCAATCTATCTTTCCATCATTCCTAACTCGAACGCACAATGGATCACGACTTGCAAAAAATAAATGCATACGTTGGGACTCAAACTCCCGACCCAATGAATCAATCTAACCTCGGTAACCAGCTAAGCTACCTAATGTTTCTTGTGAAGTCAGCATTAACCGTTCTCTTCCCGAGCGGTTGTCCTTTCGTTCCCCTTCCAAGGAGAAGAGGGAGGTGATCCCATCGTCCACGGCCAGACAGCCCATGGATTCCTCATCCATTTGTCTGCTGCTCCAGCCACAAACGGATGCGGTGGGGAATCCCGCTGCTCTGTGCCCGAGTGGTAGGCAGATTAGGGTTAGTTTTTCTATACGGTGGTGTCTTGGCAGCTGCATCACCATGGAGAATAATGTTTTAGTCACTCCAGTCCCGTCACAGGGCTTCTTCTTCAGAATGTTCTAAGGAGCTAATGGAAAGCATCTTGTAATAATGTCATCGTCGACTGGTGCTTCGTGTAGTGACGATGGCATTCTCAGAGTGGTTACTATTATGGCATCGGTTTGCGGGTTGCAGGTTGGCGGAACTATGTCGATAGGAGTTGATGGATCTGAGGCCCAAGGAGGATGGGGTTGAACCCCGGCTGACGCGCCACAACGATATGTGCTCTGTCGTCCGCAACGGTCCATTCTTCAGCGCACAATGCATTGATGCGATGGTGCTCTAACGTCTCTTTAGCTTGTGTTGTCTGTCTCCTACTCCTCCGGCAGCTACTTCAGTGACGTTACTGGTGAACGGTGGATAGTGATGGTTTGGTTCGGCAATCGATAAATTTCTTTTTTGTGGTGTGTATTTTGTGGTTCTGTCATGATGGTTGTCCTCTTTGGTGTTGTCGAGTGTGGACCGTGTGTGTTGTAACTTACAACTTTATATGATGAACATGTGGTTTTTGAAAAAAAACTTGTAAAAACCTTCATGCTTCGTTCTGTTTATACGTTACCTTGGGTGAACTATGTATACACACAGTTCGCTTCGTCCTTCACTATAGGGTAGCCATGATCGAGTGGGTCTGATCTTGTTCTTCTTTGGTTATGCACTAGGAACCAAAAAGAGAGAGAGATAAATACATGAGGCATCGGGATTTCCTAAAAAGAGCATCAGAAAGCAGGTCAGTGTAAAATCAGCATGTGGCATATAAGATGGCATTATGCATTTATGTCCGCTAAATTTTCTGAAAAAGTTCCATGATGTATGAAACAAAACAATTCAAAAAATCCCATATTGTACAGAACACATTTTCCCACAAAAATTGCCATGTGATCAGTCTGAACACATTCACAACTTGTCATGTTCTACACAACATGTATTCACAAAAATTGCCATGTGATTATTACAATTTTTCTAATTTGTTGCCATCATGAATGAAACAAACTTTACTAACTTTGCCATGTTCTACACAACAAATTTTCATAAATTTGTCACAACTTTACTAATTTTATGCCATGATGTATGAAACAAGCACTTCTTAGTTTGCCATGTTCTACAGAACACACTATCCCCCTAAATTGCCATGTGATCAGTCTAAGCATTGTTGCAACTTGCCATGTTCTCCCCAACACATTTTCATAAATTTGTTGTGTGATTGTTACAAATTTTCTAAAAAAAAAATCCATGTTGCAACTTTCCATGTTCTACCCAACACAAAATTTTCTACATTTTTCATGTTGTGCAGAACACACTCACCTAAAAATTGCCACGTGATCAGTCCAAAACATTATGCACAACCTTGCCATGTGACTCGTTACAATTTTCCTAAATTTTGCCATGACTTAAGAGAATAACTTTTTTCTAAATTTTCCATGTGTTCACTCCAAAAAAAGAAAAATCAAAATTTGCCATATTCGAGAGAACTGATCTTCATAAATTTTGTCATGTGAATTCTTAAACTTTGCCATGTTGTAGTAAACAAAAAGCGTTCTACATTTTTCATGTGACCAATACAAACATTTGTCTAGTGAAACTTGTCAACCCATACAATAGAGTTTAAAACTAGTCATGATAAAGTGGTAACCCCCTATACGAAAAAGTTGCCACACCAAGTTAAAATGATGCTACAATGGACTATCATGTATGGCAACTATGTTGGTAACTTGGCGAATGCATGCAACATTATTATTGCCACACAAATCTATCAAACACACAATTAGAACTAATCCAAAGTTGCCACCTAAACTTGGCCATCAAAAGGGGGAAAAGCTGAAAACAAGGCTTTGAAAACACAAGCTACCAGCCTAAAAAATGACATGGAAATTTGCCATGGAAGCACCTATATGAAGAAGGATAATTGCCGTCATGAATGCATAATGATGAACATGGAAAATGTTCCTCATCCCCGTTATTGCAATCAGCAGGAGGCAATACCTATATGAACAAGAAAAAATACCACCATGAATAACAATGACGAACATGGCAAATATTCCTCATCTAATCTGTTACAATCAGTAGGACGGCAATCCTATGGGATTCATCTCTTTTGTTTTTGAAAAGAAAGAAAAAAAATCTCTGCTCTGCCATCCTCGCCTCCCTCATCTGCTCGTTCTATCGATCCAGCGAAGCAACACATGGGCACACCATGCTTTCCCCTTTGCTCAAAATCAAGCGCACACTATCGGTGAGATATACTCCCTCCGTCCCATAATGTAATAAGATGTTTTTTCACACTAGTGGTGTCAAAAAATGTCTTACATTATGGGACAGAGGGAGTAGTCCACAACTCATATAAACGCTCCAATCCCACACTATTCAATACCTGCGATGATTATACCCATAACTCCAGCATGAAATGAACTAAAAAAAGAGAGGAGGAACTTCCCCGAGGTCGCTGCCATAGCTCAGCCCCCATGCGGCGGCGGGTCATGGTTAACATTTCCGTTTCAACAAAGATACCAATACACTTGAAAGTTAATGTCATCATGGATAAAACCATCTTCTTACAGCAGATACAGTTCTGTTCACTTATTCCAGGACCCATACGCTACAGTACACAATTTCAGTTCGATGAGACTAGCTAAGTGTACTAGCTAGCAGCCTTCTCCATGTTCCTATGACATAAGGTTATTCACATGGCAACTGCTGGCCTAACCACATCTTTGCAGCGCCTGTTAAACGAATACTATGTCATACATACAGGTGCACATGAATACCCACAACATGTTCTTGACATATCCATGGTGAACACTACAACTTTACAACACCCACCAAGAGGAAGGTTGTCTATGGACGCCACCAAGCCCATGTATACAGTGGAGACCTCATCAAGGATTCTCCAACTTGATTTCTTCTGAATTCAGCGGAACATGAGTTATGATCAATTCCCCCTCAGAATAACCATTCATTAGAAGCTTTCCAATCTTCATCCTCCAATCTGTGCTGTACTTCTCGTTCCACCTGTCATGAACCACCCGATCGCGGTAGTTCAGCAACGTCCCAAGCCCAGTGTTTGGTATCCAACCATATTCCTGCAAAACCTTCGCCTCACCTTCTGATAGATCTTCACCAATCTGAACAAAAAGATATTTAGATTACACCAATGGAAGCAGAACGAACATCATAAACATAAGATTTGCTGGAACTGAACACACAGTTAACAACTTGGGTGATGGCGACATTAAATTTACTTTGATAGATTGAAGATATACATAAGCATTTGTACACACACTGTCAGCCACCAGTTTTGCTGCACAAGACGGTGAAAGAAACAGGGAGCAAAAAAGCTTACCAATAGTGGCCTGTTTTCAATAAGAGCGGTTCTGCCACAGCTACTAAGCTTCATAGCAGTAACCATCCTTCGGATCTGCCATTCTATTGGCACTGATTGTAGAATTTCAAAGAAATAAGTTGCATAACCATATTCAGGACGCTCAAGAACTAGCCTGTGTAAAAAAATTACAAAGGAGTTGCATAACTATACACATCAATCACCATGTTGACTAGCATACAAGGTAAGAAAACTCACCTATTATGGCTTTTAAATACAAAAATGAAGGATTGCAAATCCCTGCACCATCCCCACTCCACAGGACAATCACGGAACTGAAGATAGCGCGACTACAAGAGATAGCGCTGTATCAAGCTAAAGAAGCTTGTATCAACTGGAAAATGCACAGATTATCCAGGGAGATGGATTCATACCTGCTCAATGAGAGAAATTAAGCAAGCTAAGCAGTAAATAGCCTTTCCCCCCTTCCCATGCTTGGCTACGGACTTCAACAAGGATGTTCTTTGTGGAAACAACTGCACATTGACGAGTAGCATTGTCATAATTACATATAAAAAATACCAATACCAATGCACAGCAAATACTTTTCATACATTAGATCACACCAAGATACAACTGCAGCAGCTAAAAAGGCATATACAAGAGCTGTATCCGTTTACTAATTTACTAGTTACATAAATTAACTCGTGGAAGCATCTACCTCAATGAAGAGTACACGATGGTAAATGCAGGACTATTCAAAACAGTATATTCAAGAGATCACTTGTCCATTTGTGGAATTCTACAGTACATTTATGTTATTCAGATCTCCAAAACTTGTTTGCGACTGAAAGGCTTTGTTGTTGTATTTATGTTTTCAGATCTCCAAAACGGGACTGAAAGGCTTTGTTGTTGTATTTATGTTTTCAGATCAATATGTCCGTACAGTGCCAGCGGTATAGACTTCTTTCTTGAACTGCTTTAAGTTTAGGGTTCCACTCCCTATAAGCTGAAAAATTTCAGATGGGCACCTGGCAGCTGCTCAATGTTCTGTACTTCTGTATTTGTGAATGACAGCATTTGCTAACAGGAAGCTCTCAACATCAATGTATGCTGGATATAATTAATATGATTTCCATTTTTCAGAGATTGAGTTTCTAAACTCGAGAACAATTAATTCAAGATAAAAAAAGTAACATTTTTACAAAAGAGATAGCATGCAACAATTTTTTTCTGGATTTGTTCACAGGACATTTATTAGAAAACCACATGATCTTCTGTAAGGTAAGGTGAGTAGGTATTGCGGCAGTCAATCGTCGAAATATAGCAATTTGACTTTTGCTACCACCCCTCAGCAAAGTGACTTTGCAGTTCAAAATACGCGCTCCTTTTGCTAAATTATGTATCATAAGTAAAAATATTTTATATACTATGTTTTACTTAAGTGCTATTTTCTTTTCAAGAAAAGAAGCATCAGTTCGTGTTATATTAAGTAGCACTCTAGAACAGCTTACTTTTGTAATCACATTTTCAAGGTCTTGAAAGTCACTTTCTGTGCAGTCTGGAAGCATTTCATCATCTTCTACAACGTCATAAAGTTTAATCTCTTTGACCACTATTCCTTTGTCCAGAAGAATCTACAGGCAGGAAAGGGCACAAAGAATCACAAAAGCTGTCATTATTGCTTTTAGATAGAATTATGTATGTAGCGGAAAGGTACCTGTAGAAGTCCTGGAGCATCTTCTTCAAGAGCCGTTTCAATCGAATCCCTGCACACATAGTTTCTGTAAGCATAATTTCAAAGATAGCATTAACGTACAAACAAATAGACCATGCAGTCCAAACAATTAGACCATGCAACATACGTCGCAGTTTTCTTCTTCCTCTTTTGCCTAGAAGGGTAAGGAATACCCTCATCATTTTTGTAACCATCTTCTTCAAGCACCTTTTCACTTGAATCCCTGTGAATGTCATTTTTTATAAGCATAAATATGAAATACTGTGCGAACATTAAAAAAAGTACTCATACTGCACACATTGCAATTTACCTCTTGTTCCTTTGTCGAGAACAAGGTGCAAGGCCCCCATTGCAGTTCAGAGTTCTGGTATGAGGTTTTTTCACAATAGGCTCCATACTACTGATAAAGCTGTTCTCACATAAGCCAGGCAACTCATACCCACTTAGTTCACTTTTTACTCCTAAAGATGGTAGTGAGTCTTCAGCATCTTTTGGCACACATTCCAGAAGAGAACCAGAGACCTTCAGGCCATTGTTGTTTGAGTGGTGAAATTTCACAGAAGGAGATTCAGAAGGATAAATCGCACAACCGTCTAATGCAGGCTCCGTTTTTACATCAACCAAATAGGTCCCAGAATTTCTCGGTGCCAGCTGAACGTTTTCATCTCCACAAGCCGGTGTTTGACTTAATAAGAGCTCAGCACTAGAATTAAAAGCCTTGTCATTCACTGGACCTTCAGTATCCTCAACTGGAATTTCCTTGCCATTCACAGAACACTCCCTGTAGGTTGTTCCTCCATGATTTCTGTAACCAACATTGCAAAACAGAACATTAATCAACGTAACACAGATAAAGTCATAGACAGCTAAAAAAGATCCATACATTTCCTCACTCTCACTTTTGGGAACTGGCCCACTTGTTTCAGCATCCATTTGCATGGATGAATTTCCCATATCATTCAAAGCACACTTTTCAGCAGATACCCTAGCAGAGCAAGAACGCATGTCTGCTAGAAGGATTCGGTAGCGCTCTTGCAGAGACATGTGATCCAGCTCAGTTTCAGCCTGGTCATTAATTTGGTTTTCATGATTAACATCTGCGGTATCCAAAACATGTTTGAGGGAACATGGTTTGTCCTGATCAGGATACATCTCAACCAGCATCTGTTCCCGGTTGTTTCCATTGCCTGGAAAGGAAATCACTGTCACAATCTTTGGAACGGAAAGTACATTTAAAATAAGAAAACTACAAATGAAGATCAAAACCTTCAACAAAATTACTTTCAGTAGCCATATTAACAGAAAGTTTTTCCAATTGTGCGCCCTCTTTTTCTTTGGAATCATCATCAGTCACAGAATTATCCTGCACATATATCCCATAAGAATTAACCATCTATTTACAAATGACAACCTACAAAACCAAACATTGTAAGCTTTAAAAAGTAGGAAGCCTGATGATTTCTAAAAGTTAACAAGAAATGGTAATAAATACATAAGAGTTGCTCTTACCACAGTCAGATAAACTACAACGAATTTTTTTAAGGGTAATAATGAAACTTTAACTACACTGAGAAGTTAAGACACAAGGCATTAAACATGACAAAGGAATGCAGAACAGGAAATAATAACTAGTGCAACGACAATCAAATTGATGCCAGAACAAAATATAGGAGAAAGAGCAGGTATTCATACAAAAAGCTCCAAAGTCCAAATACAATATCATTACTTCTCTAAGTAGTGCTGGAGCAACATTACTTTGAAAAGTTCTTCTTTCAATTTCAAGTAGGATAATAAGGTTCAAATAAAGTAAACATAAAACAACAAGAGAACATTTCAAAAGAACAAGACAACGGCCAAAGGGTCAAAATTATGTCATTCTGCATAAAAAAAACTAAAAATCCTGCAATATGGCCCAAAAATGAAGCCTAACAGGCAGTTTAGTGAGAACAGGTTATCAGTGAACAAATGTAACATAAAGATCTGCCCCGCCCTAGCTGGCTAAGCCAGGGATAGAATGGGAAGATATACCTTGTGGTCTTTCTTCAAAAAAGAATGATACAAGTTTTTAGCATCTCAGAAAAAGAATGAGGAGATATGTCATGTTTATCTCCTTATAGGCGAAAGTATCTTCGCAACAACGTTTACATGATGATAAAGAAAAAAAAAGCAAGAGAATAATATCAAAAGTAACATCTAAATTGATCGGCATAGCATTACCCTGCATGGAATATTGTCGGGATAATAAATAGCATGTATCATAGTTACCTGATTCACGATTTGTTCAGTTCACAATTCGAATTCGCTACACCCTATGAGACAGGTTTGATGGGGAGTACATCTTCGATCCGCAAATTAGAGATCCGGTTCGCGAACTTGCTATCTTGGATTTGGAAAAGGCTATTATAAGATTCGCATGCAAATGACCACAGAAGATCCTAGCTCCAGTTAGCATACTTGCTATCTTGGATTCAGAAAAGGCTACTAAGATTCGCATGCAAATGGCCACTGAAGATCCTAGATCGATACTAAATGAAAAATAGAAAAGAATGTAGGTTGGCCCAGCACAAACAGGCCCACGAGGCCATGACCTGCACCAGTAGTTCCCGATAGCCTCCTCTAACTTAAGCCAGCGCCGCCGCCTCCATGCGATTCGGCGTATCCTGCTCGTTCTCCCTGCTAGCTCCCATCTACCGGAAGTCGCCGCTGCTCTCTCCTGTAATCCCCTCCTACTCATAATCCTAAAGATGGAGAGTAGCATGTCCTCCGCCGTGCATCCGCGGAGAGCAGGAGGGGCTGCTGTAGCATGCCAACGACAGACCAGCCGCCGGATCTTGGCCACTGCCAGTCCACCGTCTGCTGTGCCGACCACCGGGTCTAGGCTGCTATCTAGTCCCCGCTGGTGTTCGACAAATCAGGCAGCGATTTCCGATCGAACCGAGCGAATTTGAACTCTGATCTAGATCGGAGTTCAAGGCCTCTCCCGGCGAATCTGGTAACTATGGTATGTATTTCCTGGTAGCTTTGAAAAATAACTATGCATATGATTATGATGTGAACAGTCAAACACTGAAACCCACCAATAATTGCCTGTTGAGCACAATCATAAATAGCAACTCATTTCTTCTTCCCAACTAATGTGTAAAATTCATGGTGCCACTTTCACCAACTTGAAAGGGGAACTTTTCAGTTTCCAGTGCATGATGAGACTGTCTAAACAAGATACTGGATGAAAATGGTATAGATAATAATGGTCACCCCTTCACGAGAAAATCTAACTGTGATGTACCATAAGAACAAATAGTACCTGTGCAGATTGAACAGGAGCTTTTGAAGCACATTCACAATGACATTTCTGCGACTTGTGGAATATCTTTGAAAGAACTAGTTCGCCTTCATTCTCCATCGTGTTTTTGATATGATATTGATGCAACTCCCAGTCAGTTCTCTGAGGGCTGTTCTTGAAGGCGTACAAGGCAAATATTTCCTTGCAACCTTGTAGACCCCCATCTAAAATTATTGATCTGGAGGGGCCACTTTTTTGCCAGCTGATATCTTTGTCATTCTCATTGTTGTGTAGGTTTACTTTTTTGTGGAAGAAGTACAATGCATGTCCATCTTGCCTCATACCTGTAGAATTGCAGCCAAATGTACAATTGCTAGTTAGTGAACAAACAAGCAAACAAGAGATGTAAATATATCAGTGTGGATTTTCGGGACACGGTGGCAAGCGAGAATGACATCGAGTCTGTCTCCCAGTGCATGCAGATCCTAAATATAGCTGCTTAGTGAATACGACGCGGAGCCAATTGTTTCTCAAATAAGTAATACCCGGGCAAACAGTATAATACGTACATTGACGGTCTGCATTAAGTGGAATCCGAATAAAGATCGATGGACAGATGGTAACCTCACTACCAATCCTGTACAATTTTTCTGGATTAACTGGATTGCATCTCCCTACCAATCCAGACCGTCGATACAAATTTTCTGGATTAACTGGTTTGTGTACGCTTACCATTAATGGACACATCGACGGTCTGCATTAACTGGATTGCATCTCTCTCTACCAATCCTGTACAAATTTTCTGGAATTTCTAGCAGCGGAGAAGATGGATAGATGGTAATCCGTCTGGATCGTGGAGTTGCGCCTTGCGCCCAGTTCCCGGATTTAGTTGTTTTCGGTGCTGATGCTACTCGGTTAGACACTGTGGTTGAGGTGACAGAGGAGGACTCGTCGGAGGGTGATCTATACAAAGCATGGCACTGGCGACTGAGCAACAACGTGTACGATTTGTATTGATAGTGCATGCTCTGACAATATTTAGTATGCGCAACGTCGATGGGGTCTTCATTACGTCTGGCTAATGAGAGTAATAAGTGAGAGGGGAAATCATGAGGTACAAAAAGTTCTATGTACTAATTAATAGTTGTCCAGACTGTTGGTACATAAATTCTGTCTCTGGCAGTGTGTGCATAATTAAAACTAATAACTCGCTATGTATAATTAAAACTAAATAGCTAATAACTCGCTATGGATTGATGCTGATTAAGTAGAAATAAACTACATAGAGGAGGGAGATATAATCGATTGTCTTTTACATAGCTATCCTCTTAATCGATCGATGGATTCTTGATTAGGGTAGTGGCCGTCTTCAGTGGAGATGGATGAGGAAAATGCAAATGACGAAGAGGTTGAACCAACTGGGAGAGAAATATAGTGTAGCAGGATTTCAGAGAGATCAGAGCTGGAATTTTGGAATTGGGAGCGTTGTTTAGTCATTGCTTGATCAAAAGATTACTTGGCCAGACCTTTGGCCGTCACTGTGCTCTACTGATTCATCAGAGGCACTAATCTGCTGCCATGCTTTTGCTGCGAGGAGAGCAATGAAGGCGGTCCTGTTCAGCATTGTCCCTATTCGATGTTATACATACCATAAACATGAAATGCCCGACAAAATTGACATATCGCCCTAACAACAATCAAATGATCCTACGCCACATTATACACACATTATGATTGGATCTCAGATACCATGGAGGAGCCGATGAACTATTGTGCATATGCATACAGCAGCACATGAGCACGAGGGTGAACAAGAGGAGGAAGAAGGGGAGGGGAGAAGAATGACTGAATGAGAGAGGGGGAGCTGCGAGGTGGAGGTAATAAATCCATGGTGCATGAATCTGTTGAACAGCTGCTAAGCTTAAATGAGAGTGTGTCGCCAGTGGGTAAATGAGGTGGGTCGGTGTCATTATTGCGCTGTGGAATACAACCTTAATACACCATCGCTCCATTTCTCTCTGTGTTTATACGTGAATAGTTGTATGAATAAAGCACAAATCTTGGAGGATTGAACGGTGAAGATATGGACCTTGCCTGGCACCATGTCTCAAGGTGCATTTTCGGTAAATACATCCCATAAAGAGTAAACATACCTGGCATATCTCGAGGATGGGTACAGCCAAATCTTGCACCTTCATCACCATATTTAATAAATTCACTGATGAATGGATGACGATGAGCCAGGCCATTCCCCATTTCTGCAGCCAGATGCCATAGAAGATCACTGTCGCTAGGATTAAATTGCGCACCCCTTGGTAACCCTGGCCAACTCTGCAATATGACAAGCACGATTCAAAAGTCAATAAGTAATTTAAGATGTCACTAAGCAGCTCCAATACCATTGCTTCGTAGGAAAGATCTTGGCACATTTGAAGGTTACAAGAGCAGATCATTGAATGGCTCAACTTGGTAATGAATAGTATGGTACCAATTTCAGCAAGTGCGCACGTAGAACAAAGTTCTCTTCAGTATCAGGTGATAAAAGAAGGTTCATAGGCATAGTAAAAGCAATTGCATGGAAATGGGTTGCTAGATAAGCAGGGCATGACAATGTGGGTGCAGTATCAGGATACATGACATATTTGCTCCCTGCCTACTTCAAAAAAAAAAAATACTCCATCTTAAGAGTTTGTAACCGTGAAGGTGGTGCCCTGACAGGCATGGATTATAAGACGGATGGAGTAATCTTTATGGCTAAAAATGTGGACGGAATTATGTCCACAGATGATGCAGGGTTGCAAAAATTGGGGAAAGCCCGTGCTGACCAAATTATCCACTTGCCAAAGTTCAAAACAAAATTTCCTTTCGAGATAAGCGAATTCATGGGCACTTGCACATCCACGAAAGAAAGGGTTAAGAAGAAATGTGGTTCTAAAGCCTAAACCCATCCCCAAGACCCAGGAAGATGGAATCTGCAAAGATTGCAACTTCCAACAACCACGCATATAAATCGTTGAAGAACCGCACCTGCTGGGCCGCTCCACCAATACCCTCCGGGGCGGGGGTAGCCTCGCACCTGCAAACCAGATAGGGATCACGACACGCAAAATCTCGCACAGCAGAAGGGCAAGAACGAGGCGCGCACGTACCTGCCAGGCGCCTGAGGCGAGGGTTCCACCCGCGGCGCCGGTGGAGGCCGAAGAGGGCGGCCACGGCGCGGGGCGGGGGGGAGGTGGTCGGAGTCGGAGTAGGAGTCGGGGTCGGGGCCGAGGAGGGGAGGAAGAGAGTCGATGTCGAAGGCCATTGTCGGATTAGGGTTAGAGCGGGAGAAATGAGGGAGATTTAGGCGAGGAGAACTGTGATACTGCGGGTAGATCGAGTTTTTGGCGATAGGAGGGCTCAACTCAACTCAATCCCACCCAACAAGCCCAAAGTTGGGCAGGCAGGCCTTTGGTTAAATTAGGGTTTTGGTTTTGTCCATTTTGGCCCGTGATCAGATTACACGTGAGCTGTTATCGGCTTTCATGTAAATTTGTTGTAAAACGAAGATTTGCCTCAAAAAATAAAAAATAAAACAAATTACTACAGAAGGTTCAGATGAAGAGAGGCCTGAAACAAGGCAAAAATTATTCAATGGTTTTTGCTAGTAATATTTTAGGGTACATTTGGATCTACGAAGAGAGCACGTATATCCCATAGATGCGTTCATGCATGTGTGGTACTCACACGTAGCAACTCCCACCGAAAGTTTAAGTGTACGACGTTTGGATGTGTGGCAAAGGTTATCCTAGACTTGCCATGCAAAGTTTGTCGTTTGGTATCGTTGGAAAATATGAAAAACCCTAGCTTTCAATGGTGATTTTGTCTGTCACTACAAGAAAAGGCTTACCAACTCCCCGCAAAAACGAAGGCTTACCGATGGAGGCAAGTTAAAGTGGCTCTCTCAAGCGGGCAAGCATGGAGAAATCATGCGATTTCACCATGCAAACTGCTCGCTAATGAAACTGCTATCCAAGCAAGGTGTATAGTTGTTCACGTGTCCTTCAAGTTTTTTTTATTTTAAAATATCAAAACCAATTGAGTAGAACGTGCTCCCTGTCTTACAACCAAACAATAAATCATGCTCTAGAGGGCTGCAGCTCAACCTGGTTGAATGAGCTTAGCCTAGCAAAGTTAGGATAGCTACAAATCCAAACGTCCCCTTAGACTCCATGTCTTTAGTTAGCGAGTCAAAGAATGAGTCTTCTCGTTCCCTTCTCCTCTTCCTCCTCCGCGGCATCACTCCCTTTGTATTAATCCTCATTTGAATGCCACACATTTATTAGGCATGCTAGGGAGATTAGAATAGAGTTTAGCAGTAGGGCTTCCCAAAAAAATGCAAGGGAAGGGGGTCTCGGTGACGCTTTGCAGCTGCATGCAACAGTTGGCATTAATCATTAATGGTCCATGCAACTGTCCATGTTGTTCCCTAGCCGCATTGTTTGTGATCCTCTCACCTAATAGTATCGCGCGGGGGGAGGGGTGTCCAGTTACTCCATGGCTAATGACGTCCACTTTTCATGGTTGAAAAAACAGGAATTAATACCCAAACGACTGGACGTGTTAAACTTCTCCTCATGCTCGCACTTTTGTCCACCATATCCTACTTGGATGCTTTTGTCATAGTTTGCCACATGAATTTTGCTAAAGTTGCCATGCTCAGTGCCGAAATTCTTAGCTACATTTTAGCTTGCCTAAGAGGGTGTTTCCATTTTTTAAAGTTTTTGGCATACATGGTGTTTTTGTCGAAAACAATCTTGTCTAGCGTGTGGCTAGAATCGAACACTCACCCAACTTTGTGAAACATGCTTAATTTGAGGTGTGACAACGTATGAAAATCGTTGCTAGGAATCAAACAACCACTCAAATTCGCACTCGGGCGAGACCCACCATGGTGGTTCACATACAAATTGTATATCAATGACACTCCTAGGAGCATGTTACACTAGTACAACGAGGTGCTATACAAACAGTTTTTAACCCCTTTCCGCGACAGCGTTTTGAACTGCCGCCAAGTGAGTGTGTGCGATAGGGGGGTCCTTCCCACACGACCCAGAAATTGTCGGGAATAGGGAGCCTTTATGCATACAGTTGTCCCCATAAAATTGTTTCTGATATCTCGAATATCCCAAATGCTTCATCCTTGCAACTCGTTTGTGCTCGCATTGCCATCGCAGTCGGTATTTTGAGGTGCTACATTTACGATGCACGGCTCATCACAAACGGTTCACGATTATAGAACGTGTATGATAAGCAGACAATCACACACATTCACTTTTCTGGAACCGTATGCGATAACTAATTAAGAAGGTTAGCTAATCATCATACGGGTGTCGGATAGTATTACGAAACATCGGACCGTCGTAACATCATCGTACATGATAACTATCGCACAAATTATTCTGGGGTGCAACGTTTACGATGCGTACCACATCAGAAACAGTTTATAGTTGCAAATTGTGTATGATAAGGCAACTATCACAAACATTTAGTTTGCCTGCACCGTTTCTGATATTGTCTGACATCGCACACGCTTTGCAAACGGCAACTGTGTGAATGCTTGCACATGTTTCCTCTTTGTGAACCGTGTCGGATTATGGTATATATCACAAACGTTTGTGTTTTACCGACCGTGTGCGCCGTAACAACCTGTAGAGCATAATTTCACCGTAATTTAATTGTTACCATTTCAAATTGTACCGGATTTGAATTTGAAAGTATGTTATAACTTTATTCATATCCATCAGGTTCAAACAACCAATGCATTATTCGATTCAGATATACATATGTTCAAGAATTACATAAGCACCAAATAAAGAATTATGAACCATTGTTGTATACGTGTACTATTAAAGAAGGTAAAGAAAGAGGTGAAATACATTCTGGTTGCTGAACAAGGTGAAGCGGAATGCCCATATTGTGCCCTCCTCCATGCAGAAGGCACGCACGACTCTAGTCCAACCTTTTGTGATGGCCGACCGCCCATCCTTCACTGTCTTCATGAACACATGTAGATAATCATCTTGTTCTGGTAGAAATTCTTTAAGCTTTGCATACCCACCAATCATGTAGTTTGAAAGGTAACCTTGAGTAAACTGCTTTGAGAACCACTGCAAAGAAAAAAAGATTCAGACATTCTAATCTAACACCACTCATTATGGGTAGTAAAAAGAAGGTTGCAGAGTTCTTACTTACCATCCTACAGTTCTCTGTTGCCTTGGATAAAGTGTAAACAAATAGTTTAATTGCCATCTTTTGACCCATTTTACTAACAATCTTTATCGGCTTCATCACTTGATGCTGGTTCATCAATATCTCATTGCCCCATACGAAGAAAGGGTCGAAGCGCGGATCTTTACCAATGACATATGTACCTAAAAGCATCAAGTTAATATTAGAAGCTAAACAACAACTACACAATTATGTAGTACAACACTCCCTCCGTCCCATCATATAATATCTTATAACATCCAATACACTCACATATTGGATGAATTAACATCTTATATTATGGGTCAGAGGGAGTTTATTGCATTTTTACAAATTATCGGCTGATTAACTGCGGTTGTGGCCCTGTTTGGATCCATGGGTTAGAGTTAGTTTTGTTGGGTTCTATGGTAGGGTGTGTCGACTGCAAATTAAAATTTTCCTACGTGCAGAACAACCAGGAACATGCTACAGGAATGGATCACGGATCGTTAATTACCACTAGACACGCAGTGTCGTGCAGCGGAAGAAGAGTTGGGGCAGCGCATCCGTGTGGTTCGTCTCCTCCTCGTCCGATCTCCCTCAAACAACCGGTCGTCGGATCTCTCGTACAGGTCCGCCGAAGCGGCGCAGGTGCAACGCCTCTAACGGTATTCGCGCCTGTAGGAGGAACATCGTGCGGCCGACTGCTAGGTCCGATCACACAGTCGGCAGCGAGTGGAGGTGGCTATTCGCAACACATGCAAAACCCTAGTAACAGCGTCGAAGCAATCAACCACATGAGTGTGCCGCACCTCCACTATATATAGACGTCTGTTGCGGGCTCAACACTTGGGCCTCGCACGGACTCTAAAGCCCAAAATTTGTTCGCTCGGGATCCGAGTCCGAGTAGGATTAAATCTGACTCGTGGAGTCCGATCCGGCCTCACAGGTTCCTTCCCTTAAGCGTGCGGCCCCTTAGGTTCAAATCGGCTTGGTCGCAGGTCGGATCACCTCCGACCTGCTCGGCTGGTAGCGGCCTCTAGCAAGGCGTGCCGACCACCAAACAGACAATGAAGCTGGTTGGCGAACCTGTACATTGCAATTACATTCCTTTTGCCACACGATATATGTTGCCAGGCTCAAGGCGAGTCTGTCATCCTTGTGCTAGCCCGACCTCTTTCTCATTCTAGTGATGCCGACCACAAACTGGATTATCTCATATTCCTTGTCGCATGGCCATGCTTATCCTGGTCGGATCACATGAGGGGCCCAGAGTATATCTCTCCTGATCGGAGGGGCAAATCCCATCTTGCTCGGCCATGTCTAGCAGCATGGGTCTGGACAAGCCCAAAACCTACCTTTGTAACTACCCAGTCACGGAGTAGCGTTTGTTTGGCCCAAAGCAAGTCTGTCACCATCCCGAGTACATGCGTTAGCTCAGGTCTCAGGACATAGAACGTGTGTTGTACTAGAGACTCACAGATGACATATCGTTGCGTCTCATAGTTGGGTCTGTCCGACTCGGACCTTATCTCAACTCAGATTCGACTACGTCGAATCCGACCAGATCCCTCTGAGTCCATATTATTCGATTAGCATCCAATTCTCCATGGCTAGTGAGACCAAGCCATCAACCGTGTCATATGCAAGTATAGTCGGCTACGCGTCCACACAACCCTTTCGACTAGGGACCTTTTAGGACAGTCATCATACAATGCATAGTCCCACAAACAAGTCACCTACTTGCTGATACACATCATTGATAATGTCCAAGGACTATCTTTATTCATAAACACATAGGAAATATCATCATACATGATTGCCTCTAGGGCATATCTCCAACAAGTTTGAGCTAGTTTGGGCTCAAATAGCCCTAAAGTATATCCAAATTTGAGCTAGTTACATCCAACCAACCCAAAAAAACTATCCCACCCAAGAGGTGCTAATTGAAGCTAGTTCTTCTAGTGCATTTATTGTCAATCTAACCCTATAATCCAAACACCTCTTTGGCTAGAGTTAGTTCAGGGTTAGTCATGATCTAGAAACTAACTCTAACCTCTAGCTAAGTTAGAGTAT